TGCCTCCTTGGGTTCTTCTGCTGCCTCCCTGGGTTCTTCTACTGCCTCCTTGGGTTCCTCTGCTACATCCTTGGGTTCTTCTACTAACTTTGGTTCTTCTATTGCCTCCTTGAGTTCTTCTATTGCCTCCTTGGGTTCCTCTGCTGCATCCTTGGGTTTTTCTACTGCCTCCTTGAGTTCTTCTACTGCCTTCTTGGGCTCCTCTGCTGCATACTTGGGTTCTTCCACTAAATTGGGTTTTTCTGCTCCGTCCTTGGTTTTTTCTGCTGCCTCCTTGAGTTCTTCTATTGCCTTCTTAGGTTCCTCTTCTTTCTCTTCTTCAATTTCAAACCCACAAATTCCTCTAATCCTTTTAGGCATGGTGATTTTCAAAGTTGATTCTTCCTCATTAAACTTTGCTTTAATTCGATTCAAATCCACCACATCGGGTATCCGAAAAACCTTCTTAAAAGCCCTTAATTCCACATCCTTCGTCTGCATGATCCAGCCTCTCAACACCATCTCCTGAACTAGCTTCTTCCCACTTACCGCAATCCGATTCCCATCCTTGTTTATCTCAATATGAACGTTCTCCCTTCTAAAACCTGCATTAGTACCAAGCCATCAATCATCCCATCAAAAACTTGAAAAAAAAAAGTGGAAAAAGGAACCAACAAAAGGGACCTTTCCTTTAAGATAGGCAATGAGGATGAACATTTTTTCATTTTCTGTAGATATGAAAACAGGACCAGAGGAATCTTTTGCGATCCTGAGATCGGATGTGGAAGTAACATCATTTCTGGTTCTTGTGATCTTGAGTGCCAATTCGAGCTCCATAGCTGTTCTTTCTTTTTTTTTTCTTTTTTTCTTTTTTTGGGTTTTTTTGGTGATAATTTTGATTCTTTAATTAAATTAATAGGGAGAAATGAACATGTTTATGGGGAAAAAGCAATTTTAAATCGTGAACAGAACATGTTTGCTGCTTTGTGCGTGCATAAGAGTAAAGCATATATTCATTGCTTGCAGTCCAAACATGATCTTGCGATTTGCATCCAGACAGCAGTTGGAAAACGTTTAAGTCAGTTAGCATCATTCTCTGTTGATCGTTCATATTTTATTGAGCTAGCTTGACTAGGATTCTTTCGTATCTTGGACTTTACTTTTCCTTTGTAGGAGTATAAGGCAGAAGAGGGTTCTTAGGGCATGGACAAGGAACATAAACAGCTTTGTGTGTGCATGAGTACAGCATATATTCCTGAGTTTTTTTCTTCTCTTTTCCGACAGCCGAAGTTGCTGGTTCCATCATCTTGTGCAATACTTTCATTAGCAAATCTCCTTTATCTTGTGAAAAGAATTATATTTTAGAAAGGAGTATCTAAATTTTTAGGAATTTGTAACTTAAACGAGCTTGTTTTAGATGCTCATAATTTTATTTTTGTTAGTATTTACAGTCAGGTTTCTTTGAGTAAGTTTTCAAGAAATTTAAGAATGCAAACCCACATTGAGGCTCGTTTTAGATGCTCATTTTGTGACACAAGTCTTAATGCCATTTTGATTCTTGAGTAACAAATGACGTGATTTACAAGACTCTAATAGAAAATTTAAGACTCAGAATCTTATTACCCCTTCTTGCTTTCTTTTCTTTCCACCTCAAAAAAATAAAATAAAGAAAAAAATGAAAAAAGAAAAAGGAAACTATGAAAGGAGAAAATTAAGGACAACTGTTGGGCGAACATGTCAAATTATTCAAATTTGAAATAAAGAAGGGGAAAAGGAAGGATAAAAGAAAAGGATAAAAGAAAAAGCAGCAATGTACTCAAATGCATGGCAAAAAAACAGAAGACCAAAAGTGGCAATGATTCTAAAGTAGGGCATATTACATGGAAATATGTGGGACTATAATTAATCATTACCTTATAAAAGCTACTTTAATTCCCCCTCTAATTACTCAACTTTACCTCTGAATGCTCAACTATTCTACACTTCTACTCTCACATTTTTTACAGCAAATTGCCATCCCTTCTGTCTGTTTCATAATTTTCACAGCATCAGGAGAACCACAGTAAAGAGAGACATTGGACCTGCAAGTAACCCCACCACCTGCACTCCCCAAAGAGAAGAAATTAAATCACCATCTTATTCCTATGTAATGCACATGTATATTTATGCATAAACATGTTTATAATATAACTTTGTCTTTATGAAAAACGTCAAGAGGTAGAAGAGATTGGACAAATAAGGAAACACAAATTACGTGTTGATAATTTTCAAATTCAAAATTTAAAATAAATGTCTAGATAAGCTAAAATCCGTCATGTGTGTTGCTTCGGACATAATATCTAACACTAGTCAAGTTTGATTTGCTATAATACTATTTCCTAAGTTAGTTTGTTTTGTTTAATAAAATAAATATTCCATAGTCTTTTGCTAAAAGAAATGGGGGAATGGAGGGTACAACAAAATAAGAATTATTATCTTATAATTTTCACCAAAACATAGAATAATCATGCTATTATACCAAATATTACAACCTCAGATTTTCTTGTGTTAAACAAAAGGATTTTCTAGCCTTGCCCTAAAGACACTAAAGACATGGATTAAGCTTGGTTAATTTAATTTCACTAAGATACTGATTTACAGATAAGAGTTTGGCCGACTAAGTACTCTCTCACGATGCCAAGCAACTAATTCCCAATGTTTAGAAAAACAAAGTAAAGTAATTCAGCTAAGCTCTGGTTAGTAGAATTAAAGTTATTTCAGCGCCTAGACAAAATTAAATGGTGATGATGATATCTAGTACGAAAGAAAATTTAGTTACCTGTCGTCCATGATCAGAGGTGGGCAAAGGGCGAATAGTAGCAGAGTCTACTTCACCAGTAGGCAGTGGGACTGCAGGGTTGCTGTTGATAAAAGGAATGCCCCCACCTTTGTCCGGAACTACTGTCGGCATTGTCACGGGGGAGCTGGCACTACTAGTGGGTGCAGGACCCGGTGAGGCCGCTTCATGAGGTTGGAATGGCCATAGATATCCTGGGGAAGATGACCCCACTCCACCAGAAGCTGGTGCCGGAGAAGATGATGCTATTGCCAGCCCACTGGGTGCTGGTGCCTGTGCCGGCGAGGGAGTTGGAGGGGAGACCTTAATGGAGAGCCTTTGGGAGGCTTGACATGATTTCAGAGAGCCATTGTTGAATGTGAAGTAGTAGAAACCAGGGCGAGATAGATGCCACTACATAAAATCAAATTAAACTGTTTAGCCTTAAAAACACAGAAAAATAATGTTCATCAAGAACAAATTTTTTAAAGCACTCTGTACCTAAAAAAAGTTTGCAAAAAAAAAAAAAAAAAAAAATTCAAGCTTGCTTAGGTGAGTTAGTAGTCACTAATTTCATAATCTTGTTATCATATTATGATCAGGGATTTAAATTTTTGCAATAGCA